TATATATATATATGCATATATATATATGCAGCCCTCGTATCTTGACCTGCATTCGACAGATCACATGAAAGAAAAGGAAAAGAGGGGGAAATAATATTTCACTGAATCGTCTCGGAAGCCATAATACGCTACACGCGCCAGATGAGTATCGAAAATTTCCTTTCTTTTTTGCAAGCGAGCCCCGTGAAGCGGGCCTTGCAGGTGGCAGCCACGAATTTCGGGCATGTTCTGATAACAGCTATGCTCTAGCAGCTATATACCTGATATACCAATGCGTCACGGGCGACTTTGGCTCCCGAAATATTCTTCTTCTTCTCTACGGTTTATATACATTTATTGCGCCGTTGGTGGCAAATCTTATCGCCGAATTTTGAAGTCTCTCGCTTTGCAGACACGCTAAAATGTTTTGTTTGATAACAAAAAAATTTAATGCGAAATTACGAAATCGGTGGAAAGTTTTTGTTTATAGGTCAGGCCGAGCTGTGCGATAAAAATTGTCTGCGAGATTTGAATCTTGAATTAGAAGAGACTAATAATATAAAGATAATGAAATGGGCATAAATTAAAATAAGAGAAAGTAATTTCCACTATGAGAGGTGAATTAAAATCAACTAAATCAGCTTATCCTGCCATTAGTGAATAAGAACTGATGAGGGCTGCGTTAAAGTTGTTCCTTCAGGAACTAAAGCTAGCTAAAGCGTTAACTAAGCTCTCTCTTTCAGTTTTATTCAATTGAGTTAGTCAGCTGTTGAATCATTGAATAACTGAGCAATATTAATGTTAATGAATGAGTAAATAGGTGAATTAGTATTGAGATAGTTGTATGTCTTTTGGTTAGACTCGCAATAAGTAGACTCTGCTAGCTTCCCCCTCTTTTGTTCTCCTTGCAGCCCTGAAATTCCCGACAGCCGACAGCGTAGTCTGCTGACGATGGAATTGCTAGGTTCTTGAAATAGCTAGACAGACGCGCAGCTGCTTACATTTTGCTAACTTGCTGTTGAGTAATATTCAGTAGATACATGGCATATATAAGATGGGTTACATTTATATATATACTACCTAGTCCCCATAACTCTAACCGAATATTACGTAAAGTTACGTAACACATAATGAAGTGTAACAGGATAGTATTCAATAACTATAAAGAATCTGAGCCAATTAGCTTATTAGTATTGCGTTCCATTCATTAGATCTATAAGCATATTTGATTACAACTCGTTATTTTGCCACAATTCACAGATTTCTTTTCTCGCATTCCACAGATGAGTTAAGTGACTTCTATTTATATTTATTATTATAAATACAAATACAAATATATGTGTGTATTTATATAGATAATGGCACATCTGTCATCTGTGTGTCCGGTTGTCTGTCCGTTTATATTGAATTTCTCACCCACTGCTCTATTGTTGCTGCCTGCTAATGGTGAAATTCAATAGACGTCTGCTGCCGCATTTCTCGTTAATAAGTTGATACAATTTGCATAATAATTATTGCTCTCATTATTTATTGTTGCTTCAGCTGGGGCGTTACACGGCTATCGACTCTGTCCATAAGGTCGATCGGGCAACGTCTTCCCAATACCTAACATATGGCGTGTTTCAATGTTGTACAAGTTTGCATCGGTTGCTCGTGCTCAATTATGTCACAGGTCGTTAGCAGATTCCAGGCTCAGATTTCTTTTGCACATTGTCTACACAAACATATAGAGTGTATATTTGTAGAACATAAGTCAAGTCAAATCCAGGTCTGGATGCCTGATAAGCACACGCGGCTTTGTTCGGCATTGGCAATTCATTTGGTTGAGGCACGGCGGGTTATCAGCCAGGTCAACGTAAAGCCGGACTAAACCGGTTTGCATGTCGCCCCTGCTGTAATCACAACTCGATTTGTGAAATTGTTTACTAGTTTTTATACTGCCTATAGAGTCCAGAGGGGTGCCATTGGGAGGGGTCTGATCTGATGCATGATTGGCATTAAATGCACTGAACTCTTGATAAGATAAGAGTCCATAATATGGGACAGCTAATTCTATATATTAATATATACACAGTATATATATGTATGGTAAAGGTCCTCGACTATCTTAGATATCAGGGGATTTCGACTATGCTACAGATAATTGAAATCAATCACTTCAATGAATTTTCTTTATTATGCAACAAAGGAGTGCTGTGCTCGGGAGTCTTCGACTAGGAACCTGACATCTGATGTGAAATATATACCATATATATATATTTATTAACATTTTATTGTTCGTTGTTGTTGTCGACATAGCTGCCTTCTGTTCTTTCATCGATCAAACTTTCTCTCCGATTTACTGTACTTCTCTGACAAATGCAAACAAGGCAAAAATGGGGTAGACTGGGTAAAATCGCTTTTGTTTATCGTATTCATTGTCATGAGAAATCTGAAATGAATAATGCTAGTTATACAACCATTTTAACTTAATTGTTTCACGTGTTTCGCATGTTTTTCCTAACTATTTACTAAATAGATAAGAATACCCTTCTTTGATTTCTTTATCAGTAGTTATATACAGAAGATTGGCAAAAGTGAGGTAAGAGACCTAACGTAACGGTTTCTATCATAGGATAATTTCATTCTAATATTTTCAGTGTTTCACACAATGAAAAATTTACATGCCATGGATGATATCATCAATGGTTATATAATATTTGTTATTATACATATTACAGATGTCGAATGAGATGACTTTTACTGCATTGCAAAGTGCATTCCAACCCAAATCGATTTCGTATTGTAGCTGTAAATCTGTCAAACTACAATGGCAAAAGCTTTTTAAGAACGAAATGCGTAAACAGTTATATATAAAGAATTATATATGTATGTATATATATTATATTGGATATATAAGATATATTTAGAATATTGCCACAAAGGAAAAAATAATCTTTGTGTTCAATTTGGCAAAATTTGTTTTAATGTTTGTTCTGATCGCATTTCAGCGATTTGCGTAATATGTAGTTCTTATTGTACAGGGAGAACTGCCTATAAAGAAGTGAAATATAAATATAGATACTTGGAATTGATCGAGAAACTATATATTTACAATTTTATTATTACATTTATATTTATTGATTTTGCATAGTCAAAGAAGTAAACGGATCAGATATTTGCGTATGCTTGAGGTTGTCCGTTAGACTTATTTTCGCTGTATTTGTATTTCTAGCAGTCGTGCCAAAAATTTAAGATTTCTATTTGCTGAAGATTGATATTTTTAATTTATAAATAAAATAAAAAATAGTTCTTAGAAGTCTAGGCTTTCCTACTATACAATAATTTAATATTTAGATATGAAAAATAAAGTACGTGCACATTCGTTACCTTTATTCCGTAGACTGAAAATAGCTTCAGGATTCAATAGAGAGCTCTAGTATATATGTTATTTGAGTTTCTTTTCTTATAGTTTCTATTGACTTCCATTACCTTCTATAAATAGAAACACCAAGGTCAAATATATGCATATTTGTGTGTGGAAGACTGGAGTATCAAAGTGTTCCTACATATCTAATCTTATCTTTTGCTTATCTTGGTTTTCCTTGCAGATCCGCTGGCACAGTTGGTGCTGTGGTCACATGTCCCTTGGAGGTGGTCAAAACGCGTCTGCAGAGCTCGACGGCGTTTCAGCCCACGGCGACGACGACACGCATTGTCGAGCCAGTTGGCGGACCGGCGAATGGCGGCGCCTCTGAGCTGTTGCGGCCGGAACAACGACGTAAGCTAAGCACAACGATATTACGTAACAGATCACAGCCACAGGTGATTGGGGGTGTGCGTAGGGTAGTACCAAATTCTTATTATTGTTATTATTTTCATATTCTCTCCATTCTCCATTCCACTGATCTTAACCATCGTCTTATGCTCGAGTACTTCATTTCCATTGCATTACCAGTTATCGATAGACTCGCAAGTATAATCGATATTGTTTTTACAGATTATGGCTATATCACATTGCGGCATCTCCTCGACTACCCCAAAAACCATGAGTATCATGCAGTGTCTCCGGTAAGTAGAGAGAAAGTATTTAGGAAAATTGAAAAGAAAAATTATCGAACCGTAACCACATTTGCTATCGATTGTGTAGGCACACAGTCAAGGTGCTCGTCTCTTCCCATTTTACTCACAACTGTTTTTCCAGTTGAACTTCAATTCTAAATTTGGCAACGAAATTATATCGAACATGTTTTCGATAACTCTGTCACTTGCATAGCTTTCAAGTCATTTTGCACTGGAACCACTTAATTGAACATTATTGAACTAGTTTTAGTTCAGCTTGGCATATTGTCCAGCACTGGATTACAAAATGTACTATTTTGAATTAATTCTTGCCGCTCTACAACACTAATTGCGTATTTATTTCATTGTTATCTAGATACATTGTACAAAACGAAGGTCCCCGCGCTCTGTTCAAAGGTCTTGGACCCAACCTGGTGGGCGTGGCCCCATCGCGTGCCATCTACTTTTCCACCTATTCACAGACAAAGAACTCGCTCAACAGTTTGGGGTAAGTGAAAACCAATTGTAAAAAAATTCGTCATTCTATATGATGCGTTTGATTGCTTTTATATATTTTTTGGCTATAGTATATCATTCTAATTGATTGGTCTTCCAATTTCTAGTTTCGTTGAGCGCGATTCGCCCCTGGTTCACATTATGAGCGCTGCAAGCGCTGGATTTGTCGCATCGACGGCAACGAATCCCATTTGGTTTGTGAAGACGCGTTTGCAGCTGGACTACAACGCGAAGGTGCAAATGACGGTGAGACAGTGCATCGAGCGGGTCTATGCACAGGGCGGCATTGCTGCCTTCTACAAGGGCATCACAGCGAGCTACTTTGGCATCTGCGAGACGATGGTGCACTTTGTCATCTACGAGTTCATCAAGTCGAAGCTGGTAAATATTTATTTGGAAATCACTTTTGAAACTCTCTAAAATATCTCGTGTCCTCTCACAGTTGGAGCAACGCAATCAGCGGCATTCGGATACGAAGTCTTCAAGAGATTTCCTCGAGTTCATGATGGCTGGCGCTGTATCGAAAACAATTGCCTCCTGCATTGCTTATCCACATGAGGTGGCACGAACGCGTTTGCGCGAGGAGGGCAACAAATACAATAGCTTCTGGCAAACGCTGCACACGGTGTGGAAGGAGGAGGGTCGCGCCGGACTGTATAGGTGTGTGTTTTATACTTGCTTGTTTACCGTTTCCTTTAAAAATACCCGATTAGCAGAGGCATAGCCTGTTAATTTTTTCAGAGAATTCCCCTCTTTAAAATGGTGATTTTTCTTTACAATTGTCACAATAACACATCTATATATTGTTAATCTCTTCATGGAACTCAAAAATTACACTTGACATAGGTCAATAGATAGATGTATAGAACCAATATTGTTTGTAGATACGCCACATACAAAGAAAATGTCAATTAACACTTGACGTGCCTTTTACGATACAGATTGAATTGATTTACATTAATTTAAAAATAATTTCCTTTAAATTCAAAATCAGGTTTCAAAATCTAAGCTCACGGCAGGTAATTAGCTTAAATCATAAATATAATCAAGTTTATATAATTTACATGCCACGCATAGATATGGTTCTTATATATGAGCGTAGGTTCAGGCAAATGAAATTTTTCGATGCTTTCTGCTAATTTGTTGTCATAACGAATCGCCCACGATTTCTGGTCGACCTAGCAAAAAATTCAAAATTCTTTTAAAAATATCTTTTGCGACGCATTTTGTTTCAATTCGGCTTGATTTATGTTCATTATCACTCGCCTGCTATATATAAGAATATTTATATATTCGCATATGTATACGAAATATTGAAAGTTCGCTCGCACTCGGAGCCCCTCAATATTTGCACTATCTAATTAATTTGTGTATTTTGCAGAGGCTTGGCCACGCAACTGGTGCGACAGATACCCAACACGGCGATCATGATGGCCACTTATGAGGCGGTGGTTTACGTTTTGACGCGACGCTTTAACAATAAATCGAATGAGTTTTACGATTTTTAAGGAAACACCTTTAATGCCACGCCTACTCAGACAGAAGGAGGGACTAGTTAACAGTGAAGAAACCCAATCTGTGCATATATGTATATATGCATATAAATATCTATGTGTAACCTATATATATATTTGGTAGCGACTGCAGCAAACTTATCTATAATTGTAATTTAAATGTGGTATTGTTTATGTTTTTCTAGGCGATTTAACCAACGAGCCGAAAGGTTTTGGTTAATTAGCTGCTAAGGCAACGAACTCTAGAGACTTAAAATCAAAAACAAAACGTTGACCGCACGAATTATATATATTCTACAATATCTGAAAAGCAAGGCCAAAAACAAACAAACAAACAAACAAAAAAGGAAGAAATATATTAAGTAACTAAATTTCAATTGAGTTGAAAAGGATTCGCAAGCGTTATTCATGTTCAAAAAGGCTAATTAGTTAAAGATTAAATATATAACTAAAAACAAGGATTGATATTTTGATATATAAATTCACATGTATATAGAGTTTTAGCATACTTCCAAACAAAAATAAACACACATATATAAATATATATTTATCATGTACATTATAGTTGAGGAAAAGATGAATGTGAGAAACGTTATATGTGTATATAAAGGCATATGTAACAAACTGCTTATAATATAGTTTATCTCGTTGCCTTCCTAGTTTTTAGATTTAAGTAAGCACAATTTGTAGTAATGACAAGAGATCGCAGTCATTAGGCGCGCAAATTTGCCGTCGTATATATATATATATATAATTATGTACACATATGTAAATTAATCTTATTGAAACAAATTTCAAAAAGAAACGAAGGGAAAATATCGGTATGCACGCAGCGTATACGTAATTTGTTGTGTTAAGTTTTCTCAAATGCGATATATATTTTAGTTATTCATTACTACATTTAGTTACTTAACGATACGTTGCTGTTTATTTAGTGATTATTATATATACATATATAATGCCACTATATATTTTATAGTGCCTTTAATCGTATTTAATTAATTAAAAATTAAAAAAAAAGAAACCCAGCAAAGAACGAAAGAAAAGTACTGTGAATATTTGATAACAATCTTAATTGAATGGTGAAATCAATAAATAAAATTTTTTGTTTTAAAATAAACATTGTTTATAACTAATAAATGGGTATTCGTTTAAGTGCTTTGCCTAATCTAATCTAACCCTATGTCTGCAAAATATCCCGCATAGTGTAACACGTTTGACCACCGATCTTCAGGGGCAATAAATTATAATAAATGTTAAGTTGATTTGTAGTTAGATTAAAAAGCATAGACCCCGACTAATCTTGAGCGCTGCTGCTAATCTTGAAGTTAACTAAGATCCAAATGATTGCAAATATTATATTTTTAAATCTTGGCGCCATCAGCAACGAGCGAAAACCGCAACCACTGATCAATACTATAAAAAAAAAGAAACTAAATTTGGAATTTATACTAAAGCTAATATTGTTGGTTGATACAAAACTATTTACAAACAAATTATATGAATTGACATTAAAAGTCGCTTAAAAACGCTGCGCATGCGCAATCTACTATCCCCTCTGTTAATTGTTAACAGCACTTTTAAAGTTAGTCGCTGTTAGTTGCTTCGCACATCGATAACATCTATCGATGTCAAACAGCAACAAGTGATCGCATCACTAAAACTCCAATTTTCAGTGTTTACGTTTGCTTGCGTCGTATTTTTGCTAACAACAAAATACAAATTTGAACTATTTACGAAATTTGCACACGCAAAATAAGTGACACTTTGGTTATAGTTAATATAGTGCTGTTAAAAATCTCTGAAAAACGTTGCGCATGTGCCATTCGCTTGGCCTCAAACTCGGTTTTGCCCTGATTCGTGTAATCGTCGACACTCATTTGTGGTCCACACCCCAGATTTGAATGTTAATTTCCATTTGCGTTGACAATTGAGGCCATGCTTTAAGCGCGCTGCAATGCTGCTCAGCGAGCTGCACTTCTGGACAACGCAGCGCGACGAAGTGCGCATCAAGTGCAGCGATTTCGGCGCCTTCCGATATCAGCGCCAACGCGAGCTCTCGCAGGAGCTAACGGCGCAGTCAAAGCGCGACTATACGGAGCGCCGCAATGGCTTGGCGGTGTTAAAGAACAGCCGCAAGGCTGGCGGCCGCCTTAAGGACAATCTAAAAAAATTGGAGGATCTGCTGCACACACACAAGCTAACGCACTCCGAGTGGCAGGATGCAGCGCAGGTGCTGCTGCTCTTCGACAATGGAGTCATTGCTCACATCTGTGTGGATATCTATACGGGCGATATATTACGCATGGTATTTGACAAATATCTCGTTGGCAAGCTGGCTGGGGACCTGATCACCGATGGTGAGTGAATTGTGAAGTTGTTTTGTAGTTGTGCGTGTGCTTTGCTTGGAGAAATTTGCATTTTTAACGACTTTCTCACAGCGCAACAACAAAAGCAGCCGCAGTCGCTGCAACTGCAGCTACAGCAGCTGCACATTCCACATGCAATTATTGTAATTTATAATTAATGCTCATGTTTTGTTTATGCACTTTGTCTTGTCTCTCTTTTTTGCCGTGTTTTGCCAGCCTTTTTTACACGCTCCCACATCGTGTTGGCCTACAATACCAACCAGCTGACAGTGGTGCATTTGCAGCGACCCAATGCTCGACCCCTCGGTCCGGAGAAAATCGCGAATATGGAGCCGCGTATATTTCATGTTATTATACCGGGCCTCGCATCTGAACGTAAATTAGCACGTCATCTAACTGTAAATGGCAGCAGAGATTTGTTTGTGGTCTGGACACAATCCTCGCAGAACGAAGTGTACCCCTGGCGACCCACCATTCGGGATCAGGATCGTGCCAATATACACATATTTAAACTGAAAGCGTAATCAACAGATCAGTTTAATTTATTCTGCTTTCTAATTGATTCAAATTACTTTGCAGCTTGCAACTGGAATCGCTGGCCTATTGTTGGTCGGAGAATGATCCGCTTTGCGTGGACTTTTTGCGCAGCTCAGAGAATCAAATCATCACATTGGAGCAGAAAGTTTCCCGCAAGGGTGAGATCAGCGCTGAGATCTGCTCCTATGAATTGGCAACGGGCAAAATGCAGCGCACTGCAATTACCTCAATTGCAATGGGCACACAGATCTGTTGCTTTGCCTTCAGTCCGGATCAGGAGAAGCTCTTCCTGGGCAGCATCGATCGGAATATATGCTTGCACGACCTGGTGCTGCAGACAACCAAATATGTTAAGCAAATCGAAATTGTGCCAACGCAATGTGCTTGGCATTGCGATTCAGCTTTGCTCTGTGTGTCCAATGAGCGATCTGTGCTGCAGTGCTTCGACCTGGCCCTGTCGCCCATTGGCAACCAGCTGCTGAGTGAGAGCGTAACGCCGACTAATCTGCTGGACCTCTCGCACTACTTTGCCGCACAGCCGACGCTTCTCAGCATAGCCTTCAGCCGCAAGCCGGACTTGGCTAACTTCTCTCACAACTATGCGCAAACGGATTGCCTGCTACTCTTGCTGTACGAGCAAGGTCCGTTGGCCTGCCTGCGCTTCTTTGGCGGCGCCGGCATGCGTGGCGATATTCACAATTCAGGATTGACGGCTGATGTAATCGCGGACAAGTATCTGCGCTTGCAACAGCCAGAGCGAGCGGTCAATGTGCTTGCCTCTCTCAATTGGGAGACCTATGGAGCCATGTGTCTGATCACGCTGCACAAGATTGCGAACTATGTTTTCTTCTCATCTGATCAGCGACGACCACGCTGCGATCTAATGGCCAGAGCCTTGAGCACGTTCGCTGACACGCTCTCTGAGGATACAAAGGATGAGTTCAGCGACCAGGTTTATGATCTAAAGCGTCGCTTTTGCTTTTTTTTGATGCGGTGAGTCGTAGCTGAATATAAAAAATATTAAATATTTTAGTCTGATTTGTTCCCCTCTGTCCACAGTAAGAATCTGTTCAGCGAAGCCTTTGAAATAGCCCATGACATAGCGGATTACGATCTATTCATGGACCTTTATAATCTGACCAAATGCATTGGAAGCTTGAGTGAATTTGCTCAGGTTGCTTTTGGACAGGCTGCTGCTATTATTCATGGCGATGATCAGGGCAATTTCAGCTCGACTTTGGCCAGCGAATTACGTCCGGATTCTGTTTGCTCACAGTTGAGCTATACGACGCCCAGTCAGCCGACTGCTCTGAAAAACTATGTGCCACCCTTGCCTTCGTTTAAATCAAAGATTTTCAATGCTGAAATGATTAAGATTAATATACCTAAGCCTGAGCTGCGGCCAGCATTGATGGAACTGCGGACGCCAAAGCTGAGTGGACCCACGGCGAATACAGCAGCAAAGGGCGGCAGCCAAGCAGCGCCCAAGCAAGCTACTTTGAATGGTAAACAGCTCAATTTTATCCTAGACTAAATTTGTTATATTGATAGGTTCCCTCTTGCAGGCACAGATTGGTCGCAGGATGTGCCGGATCAGACAGTGGGTCTGCCGTTGCCCTTGTCGTTGCCGGCCAGTGCTCCTGTGCATCTACAGCAAAGTTCACAGCTCACATCACAAGTTGGCACACAGCAAGTCTCACAGCCCGGCTCACAGTTGACTCTGCCATATCATCAGCCCAAGTTTTATCAGCATCCGCTTGTCTCTGGCAACATACCAGCCATGTTGCCGGCGCTTGGTAATGAGGAGCATCAAAAGCGTTTGCTACTTAAAAAGCCAACAGCTTCCATACTCTCAAATGCAGCAGCAGCGACTCCGCTGCACAATGGCGACACGCCCAATGTGAAGAGCACGCCGGTGGAAAAAAACAAAGTCAAGTTCTCGGACACCATTCAGGTGGCTGTTGTGCCGGTAAGTCTTACACATACACTAAATAGCTCCCAGTTAAAGCTTTCTGCTTTCTTTCGCTAGGAGATACCACGTAAAGAGAAGCCGTTGCCACCGAAACGCAATGGCTATTCACGCCCTGCAGCGCGACACATGACTAATCCTCGCAAGGAACTGGCGGATAGTCTTCCACTGTGTCATCCAAATGATGAGTACTTAAAGGATTTCAATCCCATTACAACGAGTGAGTAAAATCAAGGCATATATATAGTTTCATCTTGCTTACGTATAATTTTCTACAGATGTTAGCAAGCCGCCAACGAGAAGGAGGGGCGAGGAGGAGCCATCCAGCAACAGCAAACCGACGTCCAGCTCTTCGTCCTCCATCAAAGTTGTGCACTTTGGCGTTGTCTAAGCGTTTTTTACGTAGTGCAATTTAATTAGTTTAAATAGTTAAGAATTCGTCTTCCATGTGTAAACGTTGCCGTCCACTTAGTGCAAAGCTTTAAATAGGAAAAGTTTCTATTTTAAATATGTTTCCCTTCTACAATTTTTACAGATTTATTCAATAAAATAAAAACTAGTTTTTAAATGTTTTTGCCAAATGACAAATGTGTGCAGATTATTTTTTCTTATTGGGCGTGGCGCCACCCATGCGCTCCAGCTCCGCCTTGAGATCGAGTAGATCCTTATCGGGCACATAGCGTCGTTCATCATGCTCATCTGTATGCTCCGACACCATCAGATGAACGCCCTCCGGAAGCGCCGCCTGTGCAATCCTTAGAAATTGTGGATACACCGGTGCATCCACGTTGCTCAGTAGTAGGCTGCGTTCATAGGTGGTCAACTTGTACTCGGACTCAATGACCGTCGAATTGGGCCGCAGGCGTTGCACCTGCGTCTGCTGTGGGGGCAAAGCATAGCAGTCGGAGACATCCAAATCGAGGTACTCCGCCACACCGTGGAGGAATCGTTGATAGCTCTCGAGAAGTGGGTAATCGTAGCCCTTTATCTGTACATTGAGGCTTTCGTATTGCGGGAACTTGGGCTTGAGGGACTGCAAAAAAAGCTTACATTTAATAATTTGTTCATTTAAATTCATATTTCATTAAAAACCTCGAGGTAGTCCGGCTCATATACACTGTAAGTATTATTTCTAGTCGCAATCACCACTGGCTTTGACACTTGCAGGGCTACTCGCGTACTCGGCAATAGCTGTAAAAATTAAATATAATAGTTTTAATACAAATTTATTACATTTTATTTATTGTTATTTACACGGCGCAGCATTTTGGAATTCACGTAGGTTATGTCACAACAGCTGATTGTCCATGCGATGCTATACACGATCAGGTCGCATGACAAGCGCTGAGTTGTAGCAGCATAACGAATTGAGGACAGAGTGATTTATTAATACATGCATTCAAAATTGTATGAGTATCAACTCAACAACGATTTTACTGTGTACTGTGTACATTAAATTCCTTCAAAATGTATTCAGCCTTTTAAATTTTCACATCTAATACTTCATTCGATAGCAATCGGTTATAATATCACACCAATCGATGTATCGATAGGTTCTACTATCTTTCATAAATACGACTGAATGGCAAACTGAGAAGAAGATAACAAGTAAAATTTTTTTTCGGTTACTGCTAATTTTGCTTTGCAACTAAGGTTTTACAACTAGAACACGTGAAATGGAGTCAGCAAATGGTAGAAATCTAGCGCTGCTTGTACTGTGCCTGTGCGCCTGTTACGCGCTGGCCTTTGAGGGCAAGGAAATACCGGCCACCAAATTCGGTCAGAGGGTGGCACCGACAATGACTTTTCTTTATTGGTGAGCTGCAAAATTAATTACCATTAATGATGTCTAATTTATTATGTTTGTCCATCGTTTAGCTATTCATGTGGCTATCGCAAGGCGTTCGAGGACTATGTAAATATACTGGTTAAGAAGTATCCACAGATTGAGATTGTGGGCGCCAATTACGATCCGCCCGGCATAAATTATTACCTGTCGAAGATAATATTTGCTTTAAAGATAATTATTATAATATCTGTGGTAACTTCGGTGAGTCCCTTCACTTGTTTGGGATTCAACACGCCTGGCTGGTGGAATCATTTGCAATCAAACAAAATATATGCCTGTATGATGATCTTCTTCCTGGGCAACATGATCGAAGGGCAACTTATTTCCTCCGGGGCCTTTGAGATAACATTAAATGATGTGCCCGTTTGGTCGAAAATACAAACGGGCCGTTTTCCCGCACCTGAGGTGTTATTCCAAATCATCGACAATCAACTGCAGTTCACTGACAGTGTCCAGGAGAATCCCGACTTTGTTAAATAATAGTAGTTCCCCGCGAATTCCAGAGACGGTTCAGGTGAAGCGCCATCTGTCATCCACTAGAACAACACCAAAAACGAAAAAAAACTATAAAGAAACGAAGATTGAAGAAATACAAATGGAACTGGACGCGTGGATATTTAGTTATTAATAAAACTTAACTAAACTATATCTTGTCTCTGCGTTACGTAAAATAGTATATTTGTTTATCTACCAATTTATCTGCTGTATTACTGCTCTTATGTGTATCTGTGTCATCTACAAAGCTATATAGTATAAATAATGATAATGAGTGAAAGTGTTTTAAAAGGGCATCGGGGTATAATGTTTTATATATAATTAAAAACTGTATTAGTGTATGCACTTTGTTTTATATAGTTTATATCAAATTATGCAATACTCAAAAATACAGAAACAGTTAACACTTGTTAATGGCTGAAATTAGCAAATATATGTAGCTGTTGAGCCCTAAAATTTTCAATTGCTTTGCATTGAAATCGAGATTTTCGAAAATCCCTAAATGGCGGCATTATTTATTTAATGTAACCAGCATCTATTCGTTAACAACAAACAACTTATAACAGGAGCTTTTGTCACTTGATCTTTTACTAAACAGCTTGCAGTACCTCCTATGAGCCGCTTCCGTAGATGTAAAGCTGTTGCTGCTGCTCACGATTGAGGAATACTTAGTCCTAACGGCGAATGCTTGTATTTATTTTAGTTGCTTAGAAGAGCTGCTGGTGTTGAGCTTGCAAAGCTTATAGTTATAGCTAAAATAATACTCTTAATTCACTGGTAGTTAACGGAACTCTTACTGAGTTACATGAGTAGTAAACTACTTTAAGGTATGAATAAATAGTTCACATTACTTTTAAGACGTTTAAATTTTTATTATTTTAAAAACTGGGTTCTGTTCGCTTTGTGTATGTGTGTGTGTGTGTGTGTTAACTTGTAATCCCTAAATACAAGATATGAACTGAATTCTATATTGGGGCAGTGGGTTGTTATAGTAGCTTTGCCTCCGCTCGACAGACAAATATTTTGTAAATTGGTTTTATTTTATTCGATTCAATTTGTAGATCTTTACCCAGCGATCTTTCGAAAAAAATGGCACTGTGCAGGGTATTTGGTATCTCGTTCTATTTGGGGTAGTGTTAGCGACTTAGATATAATTATTTATTATTTTACTGCTACTTAGTATGTAATCGGAGCTGTGGATCTAAGGAGCGTAAGTATCATCGCGCGGATAGCGACGATTTTGGCGAACTCCGCCGTATTGATATGGATTACGATAAGTTTGTTGACGATTGTATTGGCCCGTTGGCGGCAGTGGCTGTGGCTGACGCAATGTTTGTGGTTGCGTACGATATTCCGCTGCTGGATAGCCACCTGACCATGTGGAGTAGGAGTTTGGTGGTTGCTGTCTGCCTCCTGTTGACCAGGAGTTCGAACTAAAGCCGGCATTGGAGCCAGAGCCAGAGTTGAAACCACCAGATCTCGAGCCTGCACCCGAATTGGAGTCTAGGCCAGCATTAGTTGCCCAGCTGGAGCCCGATCTGAAGGCAGAGTTGTCTCTAGAGTTGGAGCCAGTGTTGTAGCCCGTGCTGTAGCCCGAGTTGGAGCCGGAGCTATAGCTGGACTGGGATGCAGAAGTCCGCTTGACAGTGTAGAAGCTATCGCCACGACGGCGACACACAGTACATCTGAAGGAAAAATAATACGCTACAGTTTCTAACTCTAGTTCCAATCAAAGCCACATACCTGCTAATTTTGCTGGTTTGGTCAGCCTTTAGGGTTTGCTGGCGTGGCTGCAGGAACTGATCCTGTTTCTCGATAACGGCTAGCCAGAAGGAGGCCAAAGCATCATAATAATTGCAACGTCCATGGCCATGGCATTCGATGACAGGATTGGCACGGAATTCCTCCAAGCAGGAGCCGGGTGAGACCAAGTTTTGGCCAACACCACCCGTATTATCCAAGGTCGTCTAAGCAATACAAAAGTCATTAATATTGAGATGGGAATCTAGACATTTATACTTACCATATAGTAACTGAAGCCTGTCCACATCTCCTCCCAGCCACCTGGACAATCTGGAATGGACATGGATTGCGAATGCAGGGCAATCACCCGCGTTGAAGTCTCGCAAACGACACAGCTAGAGAGTTGGTATACTTATGAGTCTGCTGTAGTTAGCCGTAGTCTACTCTCTGCTTACCGTGAAATGTACTTCATGAGGTCTCTGGATTGGATAGGCGTCATGGACATGGGCATGGGCTCAGCTGTGGATAGCCACAAGCTGTCGTCATTGTTCTGAGCATAGTTGCAAACGTTGTTGAAGTCACAGAACATGTAGGGCATGGTGGTAAAGCGCATAAGACAAGAGCCGGATTGTCCCAAATCTTGGCCGATAGCGCGACTGCTGGCCACATTGCCAGACAGCGAGTAGCCCTCCCACAGCATATTTGTATTGGCTGGACACACGGGTATATTAACGGATTGCGAATGTCGGGCGAAAATGAAGCCACGGCTCTTAGGTGGAGGTGGTGGTGGAGCTGGGTCACCTTGTGGGCCAGGCAGACCGCGTAGACCCACGCGTCCTCTTAGACCCATTTCGCCAATGTCGCCGCGTTGGCCTTTAACGCCGTCTGGTCCTTGGTAGCCCATCTCGCCATCATCACCTCGATAGCCAACTATGCCACGGAGACCCGCTGCTCCATGCAAGCCAGGTGGTCCAATATCGCCCCGCTCACCCTTGAAGCCATCCAGGCCGGGCTCGCCACGATCGCCGGGTCGGGCGTATGTGTACGAATAGGTAACACCTGGTTCACCTTTTTCTCCTGATAGTCCATCAACACCATCGATGCCACTCCAGCCTACATCGCCAAGGGGGCCGCGTGGTCCGCGTGGGCCGACCGGGCCAGTGCGGCCTGGTCGCCCACTGGCACCTTCCTCGCCCTTTGCACCATTTAACCCGGGCATACCTTGCCGACCTCTTTCGCCGATGTCACCCTGTTGACCCCAAATGCTGAAGCCAGTTTCACCAATTTCACCTTTGCGTCCTGTGTCGCCACGCTCTCCTTTCCTTCCCCTCATGCCGTGCAGGCCATTACGTCCAGGTATGCCTTGATAGCCATAATCTCCGGGCGGACCTTGGGGTCCGATGAGCATTGGTCCCTGTGGTCCTTGCGCTCCATTTAAGCCGTATTCACCCTGCTCACCAGGTGCACCCTTCTGGCCAGGA